ACCTCAGCTTTATTTCAATGTCTGACACCCATTCCAGGAGTATATGGAATGACCTTTGTAGCTGTTCTGCCTGGTGTGAAAAAAAAAAAAACAACCTTTAAAGTTGATTTTCTTTCGGGGTATTACATATGTGCTCCAGTAACAATATACTCATCAACATGTTAGTAAACTTAAAATAAGACCCAAAACTCGAGCGATTTCAAATAGTTGACTATTCTTGTTCCTGAAGAAAAACAGTCAACTATTCGAAAGTGCTCGAGTTTTGGGTCTTATTTTAAGTTTATTACACTTTATATGCGATCCTTTGTGCTAACTCTTTTATCAAGAGGTTCATCAACATGTTAATTTATTCATAAAACTATGACAGTTTCATTTGTTACTAACAAACATTTCTTAAATATCAAATACAATTCTAACTAATTTATCCTGGTTTATTTCTTGTAGTTAAATGCAGATAGTTCCATATAAACATGAGTATGTTGATGTCTTCGTGACACTCTAGGTTCTAAGCTTTTCTTATACCTACTAGACTATTAGTTTTTGTCTATTACTATACTTCAAAGTTTTGTTACACTAGTTACAATGACATACAAAAATCTATCTAACAAATGAAGTCTTTCTTGATACTTAGTTTGTGAGTTAGTATTTTCACCTATTTAAACAAAACAATACAGCATTTTTTTAAAAAATAAAGCATTTATTGTGAAAATGAAATGAACTTTCTACAAAAATACATAGTATTACTCAAATCTACCTTCTGAAGTGCTTCATTCAGATTTTGTTGTTTCTCGTCGCTTAGCTTAACAAGTTCATTCCACATTAGGTTCAGCTGGTCCACCTGGTTTTCGATGTGCTCTACATCTTCGTGAGTTGCTGTTTGCAAAAGTTCACCAGCAATTCGACGGATAGATTCCAGGTTGTTGGCTCTGTTTTGCAGCTCATCTTGAAATATCTGCGCAAACACAAGCAGAATACAATTATTTCTTAGCTGTTAGTTTTCTTGAAAATGTTAAAAGTTATGGTAAGTCTTTGGTTCAAAATGTATGAAAAACAGGACAAAATATAAGCAGTTGCATTCACAAAGAACTACTACCTACCCTATGTTGATCAACCTGTGTCGTTACCGTATCCAGGTCACCGTGTATCGGTTGCTCTACAGCTAGCGCTCCCTTAGCCCAATCCAACCAGTCAAACAGTGCTATAATGGCATCTTTAAATTGTCCAGAGTGTAAGAGAGCTTCTTCTAGTTGCCTTTGTCTGGTGATGAGATACATTATTAACCAACTTCACAAATCACCCATACCACACGATACTGTTTAAATACTTCAGGGTTTGTTTGTGAAATTAACATCAGTGGCCAATTAATTTTCCAGCTTTGATTAACTGTATTTTATTTCATAGTTATGTTTTATTACAAGCCTAATAGACCACTGTAGATACTAAAACTTACATACATTAATTATAACTTCTACAGAATAGTCAAAAAACATTTTGGTAGAATTATTTTTGTTGTTAATTTTTGAAACATAATTACACATAAAATGTCACATATATATATGTTACCAACAGTGATCAAAACATTATTTAATACAAAAAAAATTCAAAGTAGAAATAACTTCACTAACCTGTCAACAGATTTGTTACACACACAATTCCATTTGTTCTTTAACTTGTCAATCATCTCTTGAAGACTGGGAATGTCAGATTTGGGACAACGATCTTTCAGGATGCGACCAATTTTCATGGTGGTATCGTACTTGGATTGTTGGGCACCAAATTCTCGTTGGGACTCCTTGTGTGTGTTTAGTAGCTGTTTGACCTTATCTGGATCTTTATCAATGTGGGTAAAGCTGTCCAGAGTTCTTTCTGCCTCTTCCAACCACAAGAACAGTTCATTCCATGTATCGTAAAACTGTAACGTTACAATTAGAACTTGTTGGTAGTGTGCTAAACGTGAAAACATCACGACCTTCAGTTTCAATATAAAGATATTAATTATTTATACTACCAGCGTCAGAGTTCTGAGGAACGTTTCTTTGACTTTTAATGAAATTAAAGAGGTAATGATAAGCATGCTCGAGTCATAACGGAATACATCTGAATACTGTTCTGGCACTTTAAGAACCTTTTTTTAAAACATTAAATAGAAATCTTTTTACAGCAAACTAGGATAAAACTTCACCCCAAAAACACATAAAAATGTATCAAAGAATATCACTCTCGTGACATTGCCTCGATCTGGGATGTTGCAACAGCAAACTCACAGTCTCTGAGCCCAAAACGGTATTAGGGTATTTTGGTCAATTTTCTCAGTGTGTGTCCAATATTTTACAGTTCGAACTTCCCTGTTATCTCGATAAGCACCAAGTGTGAAAAGGGCAAACATATAGATAAGTAATCCTGTTCTTTTAAAATAACTAATACACACCACTGGTGAAACAAATGGTAACCATATTTGTACTGTATATTTTTCTTTATTTTGCTCTGTTACACCTGAAGTACATTGGGTTTATTATTATTTACGCCCTTCTAGCACACACCTACAGCACAGTATGATCAGTTTATCCAATGTCATTGGTTTTAAAAAAAATTTATTTTTAGTTTTAATTAACTAAAAGAACAATGGTAGAGGTACGTTGTATTTATTCAATTTTTAACTATTGTTGAAATGATACAGTGCATTCTGGCACTTTTTATGGGAGGGGACTCGGTGTTTTAATTATCTATTGAAATACATTTGTTACTAATATAGCAGTGGTGTTAGATTTCAACTAAAGAAACTTGATTTTAAAAATAAGAAAGTTCAAATATACATGTTGTTCGAGTATGAATACATCTCGTTAAACCAACATTACTGTCTCATGAATGAACAATAACTTCTCCTGATCAAAGTTAGTAATAATAAAAAAATTGAAACAAAGTAAAATACTACCTCTATAGCTTCTTTGTATCCATGATCCAACGTTGCTGTCTCATGAATAAACAATAACTTCTCCTGATCAAAGTTAGTAATAATAAAAAATGGAAACAAAGTAAAATACTACCTCTATAGCTTCTTTGTATCCATGATCCAACATTGCTGTCTCATGAATAAACAATAACTCCTCCTGATCAAAGTTAGTAATAATAAAAAATGGAAACAAAGTAAAATACTACCTCTATAGCTTCTTTGTATCCATGATCCAACGTTGCTGTCTCATGAATAAACAATAACTTCTCCTGACCAAAGTTAGTAATAATAAAAAATGGAAACAAAGTAAAATACTACCTCTATAGCTTCTTTGTATCCATGATCCAACGTTGCTGTCTCATGAATAAACAATAACTCCTCCTGATCAAAGTTAGTAATAATAAAAAAATGGAAACAAAGTAAAATAGTACCTCTATAGCTTCTTTGTATCCATGATCCAACATTCTCGTTCTTTCCGCAGCTTTCGACACCACTCGTTCCCAGCGATGTTGTACACTAATAAGCAAGTTCTTAATTAAAATAACATCTTGTTTTTGACTGAAGTACTTTAAGTGTGTACCCTTCTTGTCCAGGTTTATCATCACCTCTCTATGGGACCCCAGATCTTTCTGGAAACTCTGTAACAGATTACAATGTTGAAATAATTCAAAGGTAGCTTAACTTTCAGATTCACGAGTAACTAGAACTCGGAGTGAACACATAAAAACTGAGGCCACAGATAATCTAGCTCCTCTGAATGGTTTAAAAATAGCTGAGCAAACAGTAAAATTAACAATATCTCAAGTTCTCTTTCTTTATATTTTGGAAAACCCGATAAGTTGCGATAGTCCACGATAAACTATGAAAGATTATATCTTTTTTTTTAAACTTTGGAATGAAACAGAAACTACATACAAGTTGGTTAAAATGGTAACATGCTAAGTGAACAGCCACTGGTTTTCAGGTTTTTTTTACAGTTTTGAAAATAGAGATCAAGTTAAAAAGGTACCCTATAAATTTAAGTCTACAGCATTTAAAAGTTATAGAAACAGGAGGAATTTCAAGAAAATAGTGTTAGGTTTATTTCCGTATTCTATAAGCTATCATCAAATGTTCCTAACATTTCTGAGTGAAAAATAAGTATCGAGTAACTATTACTTTATTCCAAACATGTTCCTAACCTTATGGTCTTCGATCTGTTTAACAACACTGTCCATCACTCGACTAACTGGCTTCATGCTGGAGAGATACTTCTCAGCATTTGTCAGCCAGTCAACAAACTCCTGTAGGGCATCATGGAACTGTGTTGCTTCTCGTAATGCTATTTCAAGTTTTATCTGTTTAAAAAAAAAGGTACAAAACATGATTTCTAGCTAAGAAACAAATATACTTAAAACTATCTACAAAAGTTTGGCTAAAGCAGTATAAAGTGAACATAACAACTTTTACAAAACTCTCTTTACAAACTTGTTCCCAAATACTATACTCACAGTTAAAATCAAACAACAGTACCCTACATATTAATGTCAAAAATAACTTCTGATCAAATGTTATTTAATAAGACAAATCATGAGTGAAAAATTTTAAAAATGAAGCTGCATATAAATTAATGAAGCCAAACTTGCACAATAAGCTGACTTGAAAAATTTACCATAATAAATAAACTAAAACTTGTAGTGAATGGTGTGCACTGAATCATTAGTTCTTGATTTGAACAAAAAACCGACAGGATGTTTTATCGTCTACAAGTAGTATTTAAATGGTTGCTTAAAGGATTACTCAAGTTAACCAACACTGAATGATTTTTTTTAAATAAAAAATAACACAGTGAAAATGAACACTTTGTCACAAATTCAAATTTATATCTAGTTTTACAGATAAAATTTAATGATATGAAATATGACCCCGATAGATAAAAATTCATGTTTGTGAAAAAATAATAATTAAACGCATTCTTCCTCCATTATACTATGTCCAGATCTTCTTTTCACCTAATTCTGATGCTCACCTTTCTGTCGTTCAGTTTGTTAAGAACACTGTCCCATCGTTGTTTTAGAACTTTAACATTATGCTGCAAGTTTACAGCTGAACCTTCCTCCGTCCGTTTCATATAATCTCGACCCTGCTGTAATACTGTCTCAACTTTGTAACGGTTTGTGTCCAGTTCACTGTATAACTCCTACAGAAGGAAATAGTATCAACCAATGAAAACTGTTCCACAACAATATAGATGCTTAACATAAGATAATATATTACTTGGATACTTTTGGTGTCTATAAGTGTGTACTTTCTTAAAGAACTTGATGGATCAGATCAGTAATTAGTAGAAAACAATGAAAACTGTTCCACAACAATATAGATGCTTAACATAAGATATTATATTACTTGGATACTTCTGGTGTCTATAAGTGTGTACTTTCTTAAAGAACTTGATGGATCAGATCAGTAATTAGTAGAAAACAATGAAAACTGTTCCACAACAATATAGATGCTTAACATAAGATATTATATTACTTGGATACTTCTGGTGTCTATAAGTGTGTACTTTCTTAAAGAACTTGATGGATCAGATCAGTAATTAGTAGAAAAGTGTTTATTATAACAATCTTTTAAACCACTGACTTAGGTAAATTGTACAGAAAAGGAACTAAAAATTGTAATTTAATGAAACATTAAAATTAAATATGAAAATCATTTCGAAATGTACTCACCATAAACCGATTAAGTTGTTCTCGGGCAGTTTCTGGTAAACCACCAACTGGTTTAGAAGTAGCCAACTGACAGTCCACATCACTAAGCCACAAGAGAAGGTCTTGAATTTCTTGATTAAATGATACAGCCTGGTGAAAATTAAACATATTGTAACTTGCCACCACAAGCTCCAAACTATGAATATAACAACTAACTATAAACTCGCAACCATTAGTGTAACGCAACTTACAATGTATCAGATGTTACCGTATACTCACACCCATCAGTGTAACACAACTTACAATGTATCAGATGTTACTGTATACTCACACCCATCAGTGTAACATAACTTACAATGTTACAGTTACTGTATACTCACATCCATCAGTGTAACACAACTTACAATGTATCAGATGTTACTGTATACTCACACCCATCAGTGTAACATAACTTACAATGTAACAGTTACTGTATACTCACACCCATCAGTGTAACACAACTTACAATGTAACAGTTACTGTATACTCACACCCATCAGTGTAACATAACTTACAATGTTACAGTTACTGTATACTCACACCCATCAGTGTAACACAACTTACAATGTATCGGATGTTACTGTATACTCACACCCATCAGTGTAACATAACTTACAATGTAACAGTTACTGTATACTCACACCCATCAGTGTAACACAACTAACAATGTAACAGATATTACGCGTAACACAACTTACAGTGTATCAGATGTTACTGTATACTCACACAACTTACAATGTAACAGATATTACGCGTAACACAACTTACAGTGTATCAGATGTTACTGTATACTCACACCCATCAGTGTAACACAACTAACAATGTAACAGATATTACGTGTAACACAACTTACAGTATAACAGATGTTACATTACCTCTTTACGTGCTGTTTCAAGTTCTCTCTGTTGTTCAACAGCTTTATCTTGTAGTTGCTGCCACCTAGTGTTCAAATCATTCATCTTCTTTTGTGTGGCATTGGCATCTTCAGAACCTTGATCTATATCAACCAGTTGGTGGCCTACACGGTTAATGGTGTCTATGCTTATTTGGTGAGCATGAATATCGTTGACTAGAACCTGGAATGATTGGTAAATACATTGTTGTGATTTTTTTATTTTTGAATAAGTTACTTCAGATTATTTAGTAAAAAAGAATAACAGAAAATCCAGTCCACTTAATGATAACTGAAACATTTTATTTCTTCAACTTCAGTGTTTATTATAACTATCTTTCACCGATAGGCTTAATGTTACAACATTACTATATCTAACAGAAATTCCATTTATCTGGTAATTCTGTTTCTTTATCAAATTTACAGCTTAAGGCACTGAACTAACTGACTAATTCATGCACTGATTACACATTAAATAACTAATGATCTCACTCAGTAATTCAAACTAGCTTAACTTACTTTATTATATGTGACTCAGATTGTTTTCAAAACTATCAAGAAGGTTCTAGTCCATAAGGACTATCAATTAAATTAAATTTCCTTCTGGCTGAACAAGAATACAAGTCTCTTTAATTGTCTAGATTAAAAACATAGCCTACAACTATTTTAAGACAGCTTTATTTTTCTAACAGGATGTTGGAGTTTTGAATGGGTTGCCTTCAGATGTAGTGGAAGCAGTCAATTTAAGGGAAGGCTTGATAAATATTTGAATGGCAAGAGCCGACTGCGAGTTTTGTAATAGTTTAGTTTAGTGGATGAGACAGACCAGATAGACTAACAGATCTCTTGTTGTCCAGTTTTATGTTAATAAAAATATATACATTTGTTAAACAAGAACTTATAGGTCAACAAGTTATAAATGTTGACCAACAAAAGCTTCCCTTACCTCATACCAAAACAACAACAACAAAAAAGAGAGAGAGAAACACTTGATAAGCTCTGATTCTCCACAGATTAAGAGAGAGAAACACTTGATAAACTCTGATTCTCCACAGATTAAGAGAGAGAAACACTTGATAAGCTCTGATTCTCCACAGATTAAGAGAGAGAAACACTTGATAACTCTGATTCTCCACAGATTAAGAGAGAGAAACACTTGATAAACTCTGATTCTCCACAGATTAAGATTTATACTGCAGTATGTAAATATATATTTTAATACATCACTTTTAACAATAATAATCGTACACAGCAAGTAGATAAGCACATTTACCTTATGTTTGGCTAGTTCCACCTCAATGACTTGAGGATCACCGGCAACTAGTTTACGGTCAGTTAGTGTCTTTTCGGTCCTCGTGATCCAGGATAAGAGTTCATCCAGGGCAAGCTGGAACTGACCAAGCTTGAGGATAGCATTTTCTAGTGATTGCTGTGAGGGTGAATCAGACATTCCGTTACATGTAAGTCACAGTTGCGAGTGTAAAGCCTTATGTGTTGGCTGTCGGTCTAATAAAGGATGTATCAGCTCAATACACAAATGTATCAAATCACTTACAAAGACTTCAATCCTCTCAAAACATATACCTTTCAAAAAAGATGTATTATTCAAATAAAAAGCTGAGTAAAAGCTACAGAAACTATTTGAAGGATGAATAATACTGATCATACAACTTTTTAAATTTATACACTCTCACTAATTGTTAGATTTAGCTAGTGTGAGGCAGCAGGGTAATCAAACAGTTTGTAGTTAGGCACAAAGCTACACGATAGACTATCTGTTCTCTGCCCACCACGAGTGTCGAAACCCAGTTTCTAGTGTTGTAAGTCCGCAGACATACAGCTGTGCCACTGGGGGGCATGAGGGTAATCAGTCCACATTGTGTGCTAGAAGGAGCTTTACGGGGCCGTGACCCTCACTAAATAAATGTTTTAATATTAAGGTTCTAATTAGATACTCCTTATTTAAAGAACTTCACAGTGAGATATCTGAAATGTTTGTGTGGGAAATTTACTAACAAGTTAATAAAACTGTAATTATAAGCATGAAAATTATTAACAATTGGAGTTTGTCATCTAATAAATAGAAGTTTATACGAAAAATTACCTGTCGTTCTACAATGCCCTTAAGTAATTCATCCCAGCGACGATTTATATCTGCTAATGGTTCTCGTATGGAGAGGGCTTGATGAGGTGATGTTCGTTCCATCAGATCTTGAGCTTGTCGATTCAACCCTTCGACTTCAACCATGTGCGGGTCAACTTCATTTTTAAATTCCTGTTACAACAGAAAAGAATCTGTAAATTTATACACTACGTACATACATACAGTTTCGGAGAGTAAACTTAAGTTAGCAAGCACATAAAAAATTAGCTTGATTTTTATTTGACCTTTCAGCTCCTGTTCGTAAACTATATAATCATTACACGAAAGCTATATTACTTATCAATATAAACATTTCTTACAGAGCTCTGTCATTACTGAAAATAGCTTTAGCTGCTGGTTTATCACTAAAACATATCAAACAGAACTGCATAATACCTAATTTCTATTTATATATTTCAATAATTATACTAACTTCAAGCTGTTTAACTTGAGCCTTTACGGAGTCGATGTCAGACCCCACTGGACCAAGACTGCCAAATTTTTCTTCTGCACTGTCTAGAAACTCCAGCAAACTCTACGGAAAACAAAGAAAATACATTTTCAACAAAAACACTTTGTTCTTGAATACCATTCTTTATATAGCAGTAACTGCTCCAAAGACCCATTAACAACAAAACTTGAAACCTCAAATGGTCAAAAATCAAATCAAATAACTAAATTCTGTTTAGTCATCAATAAAAATTAGATTTAATTAGTGCTCTTGATATAACAGCAAGACATTTAAATAAAAGTATTCATAGTCGACTAGCGTTTTCATTTGTTTTCGATTAATTTTTTCATTAAAATTAGTTTTGTCTAATGTTAAATCAGAAAAACTTCCAAATGGAATAACCTGAAGTTTAATAACATATGCTTATCATTACATGCCATAAACACCAGATAAGCACAGGATCTGTGAAAATAGAATTGTACACAGATTTTTATTTTATATTAATACTACTATTCAAGCTACACATTTTTTAGTCTGTATAACAAAATTCTTTGTAGGAAAAAAAAAGAAAATATTATTTTCAACAACATCAATAAGGTATTAAACCAAAGTATAACCATTAAAACGACAAAACCTAAGACTGACTACCAAATACAACAAATTACTTCTTCTGATCTATAATAAAACAAACCCTGTTACACCTCCACGATGCATGCACGAATCTTTAGGAGTGAAAGAAAATCAAACGAACCTGTAGGGTAAAATGGAAGTTCATAGCCTTCTCCATGGCATCTACTAAGTTCTGTTCTCTCCTGGCATACAGGGTCGTGACATTCTCCCAGGCTGAGTCCAGATCTTCGATGTGTTTCTTGACTTCTGGTTTGTCTGGCTCTCCACACAGTTGCATCAGGTCCTGACCAGCCTGTCTACACTGGTCCACTTCTGGCCTTGTTTGGTCGATTTCCTGCTTGATCTCCTGGAGTGCATCCTGTTGCTCCTGTATGGCACTAGGCTCAATGGCTGGAGGCTCCTGAGCATTTAGGTTTTCTTGAAGCTCTTTTAAGGCTTTCATCACGGCATTAAGCTCGTTCCAGAACTTCTCGGCTACGGTCAAAGCATCTTCTAAGTTGCGGCCTCGATTTTTAGAGGATTTCTGGATCTTCTCCCACAGGTCAGTCAGTCGATCTAGTTTCTGACGAATATCTGAAATGCAACAAAACTACAGAATGACCATCTGTTTTTTATTTACTTTTTTTTTCACAAAACACAGTTTTATATTTAAATATGTAAATATCTCATTTACTTTACAGATATGTTTAAAGTAATCTTTACTATAAAAACAATTATGTGTTTAGAAAAAATAGAAAACCTTAAAAATTTTTTTCCCCAACATACAACTAAATAAAGTTACAATAATATCTTAGCTAACCTTCTACTGCAGGTTGGTCAGTGCCAGCTTTTGTGATAACATCATCAGCAGCCCTCTTAACAGCCTCCAGGGCTGTAGAACGTTTGGTCAAGACGTCGAGGACGTTCTTGTTGTCCATGATCTGTTCCTCAATCCGTTCTGGATGAGCAGAAACGGGCTCAGAATTGCTCATCTGTTCAACGCTGCTGTGAAGTGCTTGTAACATACCATCCAACTTGTCTGTAAACTAAGAGATACACGCTATATAAGTTTCAATACCATATCTAGCAGTAGGTACAACTTAATGAAGTGCTTGTAACATACCATCCAACTTGTCTGTAAACTAGAGATACACGCTATATAAGTTTCAGTACCATAGCTAGCAGTAGGTACAACTTAATGGATATGAACAAATAAGTAAATGTGGAAAATATTTAAAGATGCCCTAAACGAAAAAAATCAGTGAAATAAAGATCTTTCTTGGCCTTAACATGTTTATCAATGTAGCTTAGAGTGAAATTAAAAAAACATGGTTTCAGTCACAGGCAACGTCACAGATGAGATAGTTGCCCTACCACTTATTTTTTCTGCAGGATACAGTTTAAACTAAGTGATGTCACAGGATGGACAAGGGGAACCAGTTGCTCCACTACGCTATTTTCTCTGCAGGATACAGTTTACACTAGGTGATGTCACGGGATGGATAAAGGGAACAGTTGCTCCACTACGTTATTTTCTCTGCATGATACAGTTTACACTAGGTGATGTCACAAGATGGATAAAGGGAACAGTTGCTCCACTACGTTATTTTCTCTGCAGGATACAGTTTAAACTAGGTGATGTCACAGGATGGATAAGGGGAACAGTTGCTCCACTACGTTTTTCTCTCTGCATGATACAGTTTACACTAGGTGATGTCACAAGATGGATAAAGGGAACAGTTGCTCCACTACGTTTTTCTCTCTGCATGATA